CGGGGGTCCCAGCCACGGGCAGCGTGCTGGATCGGGGCCCCTCTCGCTGGCTGCCCGGTGCCGGTGGGAATCCTCCTACGACATGTCCAGCACCGTGACGGTGACACTGCAGGGGTCCGACGTCCGGCTCCCGTGGGGCTGGGGGTCGCGGGGCAGGGACGGGGCAGCCTGTGGGCAGCAGAGCCGGGGGACGCCGGGCACCAGGAGCTGCCTCTCTTCCCAGTTTCCCCCAGTGTCCGCGTGGTCGCTGAGCCGTCGAGCCCCGTTGTGCTGAACAAGACCGTGAACTTCACCTGCCACGTGACGGGGTTTTACCCGGGAGATGTGGCCGTCACCTGGCTGGAGAACGGGACGGAGCTGAAGGCAGCCTGTGGGCAGCAGAGCCGGGGGACGCCGGGCACCAGGAGCTGCCTCTCTTCCCAGTTTCCCCCAGTGTCCGCGTGGTCGCTGAGCCGTCGAGCCCCGTTGTGCTGAACAAGACCGTGAACTTCACCTGCCACGTGACGGGGTTTTACCCGGGAGATGTGGCCGTCACCTGGCTGGAGAACGGGACGGAGCTGAAGGTGGAGAGCATCCCCCGGCCGGTGGAGACCCCGCGGGGCTTGTTCGAGCTGAGGAGCCTGGTGGAGGTGCAAGCGACGGAGGAGAAGGCCGGGGCCGTGTTCACCTGCCGCGTGGTGCACGATGGCCAGGACCCCATCAGCGGGACGGCCGTCCTGCGGGTCACTGCCCCAGGCGGGGGGACACAGAGCGACCAGTCCCAGCCAGGTAATGGTGCGGGAGAGCTGCTGGGGTTCGGTCCCTGCTGGGGAAGCTGTCAGATGCCACCTCCCTGAGAAACCTCCAAGTCCCCCCACAGCCTGGTGCAAGGACACAAGAGCTCGGTGTCGGGGGGCTGGGGGCTGTGATGCTGGCAGGTACCGGGCTGTCGTCCTCGTTGCTTCGGGCGTCTCCAGGCCATCCCCAGCTGTCAGGCTGCGGGGGCTCGGTGGGAACCAGCGTTTTGCAGCCCGTGGTGACCTTTTCATTCATGTTCCAGGCAGTTTGGACGTCATCTACGTCGTGGTGGGAGTGGTCTGCACCGTGCTGGCACTGCTGGTGGCTGCGATTCTT